TGTTGTAGTGGATTATGTAACACCGATATATTAGCATTCTTTATGTGTTATATGAAACTTATTCGTGCAATAACAGTTTAGTGTGAACTCAGATGTATGTGGCACACAAAATCTGTCCTGTTACGCCTGAACCCAAGTATATAATGCAGGTCTTCATAGTAGCTACACGCACACACACTCATATTCAGACAATGCTTTGCCCAAAAACATACAAAGCCACATTCAGGAGTATCCCCTACCGGTACTAACAAGTCTCATAGTTTGAAGACACCCGACATTCAGATCACACACACACAAACCAATACGAAATGCTGCTATACAATTTCACTGTAGACGAATACCAGTCCACATTTCAGTGAGTAATGGTTCATTTCACTGAGGCAAAAACTCTCATGACTTTACTGTCCACGCTGTTTGTTCAGTCAGCCTGTTTTCAGTGATTTGAATTCCAACTGTCTCAAAGAAACTATGCCTTCGAGAATCACTGTCATTCTCCGTCAAACATTTAAACCGAGTGAATCTGAATAATCGGAAATGACTTAAGTTTAACATGTATGATTACCAACGCGAATGATATGAAATTAAGTCGATGAACAAAGGTTATGTTAGTCATTCTGCTGAGCCTAAGATAGAAGATGGTAACTAGAGATAGTCACATCCAACATTTCATTGACGAATTCATCCCAGTCCCGTTTTCGCCAACATACTCCCAAGTGAACATTGCTTTGTGATTAAAGTCTTTTCTATACTTTTCTTCTGAGATGAGTGAAAACACTCTCGGTTAATTTGTCATACATTTTCAAGGAACACGAATAATTCTACTGTTAGAATCTGTCATGGGATCTCTTCTAATTGTTGATGTGGTTGTATTCTCTGAGCTGGATAGTTAGTTTTCGAAACTTTCACCCCCCCCTACTAGATGACATCTTCAGCACATACTTCAATTTGAAGTGAGCTTTTAGATTTCTCCACGAGTTTATTAATTATCTCTCGCAGTGACCTTGGACGTGACTGGTTGTTTTTGTGTGTTTTCACACCTTCTAGGTTACTTGTATTGGAACTGATTGTTTCTTTGACTTGAACTTTGACCCTTTGTGTGTGAGGTTTCTTTCTTATCGGTTGATAAATTTTGTAAATCTCGATGTGTCCATTGACTGATGATTCACTGGAATGCCAAGCTTCTAAAAATCATCTAACATTTTTGTTATTTCCTCCGTCTAATATTCGAACATTGTCCCAATCGAACTGATGCCCGTGGTTTTCTGTATGTGGTGATATGAGGGAGTGTATGTCATGTCTTTTGACGGCTAGCTTATGTTCATGGATACGAAAACGAAGGGAACGTCCACTTTGTCCAATGCAGTGTTTTTCGCAGTTGTTACATTTTATTTTGCAGATGACGTTGGTTTAATCTTCTTTCACTGTTGAGTCTTTTGGTTGTTAAAGAACTGAGTGAAGTGATTTTGTTGGTTTGTATGCGACGTCAATTCCTAAAGGTTTGAAGAATCTTGCGGTGAAACCTGATATATCCTTTATACATGGTTTGTCGACATTCTTTGTGCTTTCCTTGGGGGCTTTCGGTTTAATAGGTGGGCTTGGAAGTATATGTCTTTTGATGAAATTCCGTGGATATTCATTCTTTTGGAAGAAGTCCATGAGATATCTTTCTTCAATTTTCCTTAAGGTGGGAGTGCTGCAATGAGTCCTGGCTGCCTTGAATAGTGTTTGTATGCAATTTCTCTTGTGTGGTATTAGATTGTTGCCGTTGTAATTCAGTATTTGATCTGTGTGAGTTGATTTTCTATAAAAATTGGTTTCTAATTCCCTTGTGGTTGTGCACTTGACTAAGACATCCAAAAATGGGATTTTGTTCTTGGATTTCCCTCCTCTTGTGAATCTGACATCGTTGAAGACGTTGTTTATTAGATTGTGAATTTTTCTAACTCGTTTCTTCTGATTATCACAAATGTGTCGTTCACGTAACGTATCCAAATCTTGGGTTTGATCTTTGGTAGAATTATGTTTTCGAGCCTTTGCATCACTGCTTCTGCAACCAAACCTGATATTGGCGATCCCATTGGTGTTCCTTTGACTTGTTCATATAATTGACCGTTTAGTTGGAAGTACGTTGTTGGGCATAGGTTTATGCATTCCATCCAGCTTGTGTGTTGCATTTCTGATTGTTGTTGGAGGTGTTCGTCGTTGCCGAGTAATTGTTCCATCGTCTCCTTTGCTAGTTTTTGTCCGACTGAGGTAACCGGGAGAGATGATTAATAAATTCGTGGAGAAATCTAAAAGCTCACTTCAAATTGAAGTATGCGCTGAAGATGTCACCTAGTAGGGTGATGAAAGCTTCGCAAATTAACTATCCAGCTCAGAAAACAAAACCACATCAAAATCATCCACCTGAGCCTCAAATCTTCTCCATCATATCTAAATCTTACGAGCGGAACACGCCTCTCTTTGTTCTTAAGTAGGAAGACATCGCCAAATGGCAAGGATCCACCACAGAATAATTATTCTTTCTCCATGAGTGCCTTCATCACCGAATCTTACCGACTAGTGTCACATAAAAACCACCAGTCAACTGCACAATGGAATGGAAATTGGCAGAACAATATGGAAGACGAATGGTCAAATTAATGATTACTGACGCACATTATCGGATCAACAAATAATAAATCTCCAAAAAGAAAAACTAGAGGAAACCGTGAACCAGTAACACCTGTCAACGCTGATCACCGCAATTAAGTATATAGAAAAAGAAACCTCATCAAATCTCTTCTGACAAGAATCAGTTGCATATGCATGGAAGATACATTAGATTGCAGAGCAGAACTAGAGTGCGTCGGTGGTTTAACGGTTAGGACGCTCGCCGACTATGCACATGGTACGGGGTTCGATCCCCGGCCGACGCACTCCTTTACCTCGCTAAGCCAGAAATAATGCTGGTGCAGAGGAAAGTTTGGGCATGAGGCTAGCAACCCCATCCTGTAAAATAAACACTGCTACAGAAACTTCAAGCAACTAGCTTGAAGCCCTATGTCCCACTGTGGAACGTGAAGGAAAAAAACTGTTACAGCAAATCAGCCAACAGCATGACGCTCGACGAACATTCAGAATGAAATGTATGTGGCTTTAGTGTGCTCTGAAGATAGCTTCAACTGGCACCTAACACCATTTCCTCTAATAATAGTTAGAAGATAGGGTACCACTTAGGCATCCAATAATTACGTGGACAAGAACATAGGAGAGGAAAATTAAAGCTGACCCAACTAGAAGTGATGAAGAGAAACCAAGTGAAGTTGTGACAGTGAAGCTGTTAGTTAGACATGGACTTCATTGACCATTGATAAGCATTCAGACAGCGCCGACTAACAAATGCTGTGCCGAACTCAGGTTCATTCCAGTGTAAAAACCAAACTCGCAAAGCCTGTACTCACTCAGACAACCATAAGTTACTTCTTTCAAAAGAGTGTATTTCAGTGGATATAAAAGATATTAATAAAGTTCATTTCAATAAAGTAGAAATCAATAAAAATCTAAAAAACAAAAATGTAAGTAGCAATCTTCATTCGCTTTCTCCAGTTTCTCCATGTTCTCGAAATTTAAGTTGGGCAGAAACCTGGACCGTTGACTGGATGAGCTTGTATGTTGTTACTGAAATAAATCGTCAAACAATTACAAAGTAATTTGTAATCAGCTTTGTTATCTCACACATCGAATAACTATTACTGGTAGCCAGTGATAATGCGTATAAAATGTAAGTGCTTCTTGTTTAATTGTTATGTTTTGTGTGCATACGTCAGTTCACCTATTCCTTTGGAGCCAGATACATTGGTCATTCAATGCGTGAGCTGCCTGGAAAGGTTCCTGCTCGTGATCGCAGAATTGTAGTATTTCTCTCTTTAGGAGTGCGATATTCGAATATATATGGAGCATCGGTCGTTCCATCTCCACAAATGCCTTCTTCAAAGTAATCTACGAAGTGCAGAACAACCTATAAAGAGTAATACTCTGTCTTCTCCTTTGCATTGCTGAAGCCTAACGATTCATTTAGGAAAATCGGATATATACGTACACAAGGAAGTTATTGAATCATATCTAATAGCATGGCTATAATTGTGTTGATTTCTACTCACTTAATTTTAGTTTGCTTGATTTTATATTTCTGCCTAACTCCCGTATGTCTTTGGGACTCTTATGTTACTCAGCATTTCCCTTCTATTCTATGTGAATCCTCATTAAATAATCTTACTATGTAACTCTGATACACATATTCAACTCCTCATATGCATTGACAAATATCGACAACTATTTTTCTGACAACTCATCACTTTCGATGCTATCGTCCATTGAGAAGAAATGTATTTAAGTGCGATTTTACAGCTAACCCGGAGAATGATTTCACCGAAAGAGGCTCTTTGCTGAACTACGTGTTTTGTCTTCAAATTGTTATTTATCCAGTTAGGTGATTTGCTGACAGTTTCAGACACAAAAACAGCAAATTAATCACCAGGGTTAAATGACAGCCTTCACTGGCACCTACACAACATTCATCATGTGCAGTGAAGTGCTCTAAGATGTTTAATACATCCAAGAAAGTAGAATCGTTTAGTGGACTTCACTTTACAATGAACTAGTCTGACAAATTTTAAAATTTGACACTCGACTTATCCATGCAACATTCAAATAAACACGGCTGGATAAATCTTCTAATTTCTGTGCTTGTGCTAATATTACATGCAACAAAAATTAAGTCAGATGAGATTCTCTGTTGAGAACAAAATGGACGTCACATACTTTGCCGCGGGGTCAAGAGACGATGAAAACTGCGATTCAACAGTCAAAGAAGTTGACAAATCTAGCAGTGAGTATTTCGGAGAAAAGGCCATGACACAAACATATTGTAGTACAAATTAAAAATATGTCTAGAAATGTCTACTTACTTCTATCTGCTTTAACGGATTACACATGAATAGAAGAATACAAGTACTCACTAGATCATTCTGCATCGAAGTTCACCGATTCGTTGTGAGAATTCTTCTTTCGTATCAGGGTTTTTCGACCATAATCTTTCAGCTACAGCAGCACCTCTGGGCCTGCATATGTATGTCACAGAGATGAGAGATGATACTTCATTGTAGTAAATAAAGCAAGAAAAATAAAGTCACACTAAACGTTTTTCTCAGGCTACTCAAAAATCAGTCCGTCATAAACTGGATGTCTACCTGCATCGTTTCTTGTGTGAGTCTTGCCTATGTAGCATATTCGAAGGCAAATAACTCAGTATCTGGCCAACTGCACCATTCATTGATGTCAAGATGTAAGTCTAAGAGAGGCCAGCGTCAACCTAGTCTGAAAATTCAGTAATGATCATTTGATATCGAAATCAGTAGGACCGTCAACTCATCCCTTAGCAGTTAATATTCAGAAATAGTGACTGTCAAAATATGCGATACGTTGAAAACAGTCACAGGAGTACCGAAAATCACAATTCATCTTAATGATATTTGTTTGATGATTGGCTAACAATGTAGTCTCATCGATCTGTCCATCCTGTTTCATCTGAACCTGAAGGGATATTACTGAATAATCAAGCGACATTTTCACCAAGTTGTCTGGTGAACTCCGAAAATCCCCATATACACTTGGTTCATTTCCACCCAACACAACTCAAACCATTTTATAAGGCGGTCGAAAGCTGATAGCACCAGAAATGCAGTGTGGGATCCACAAAGAGTACTTACCATGCTAGAGTGATCACGTTGGTCTCATCCACACTTGTGCCCCACAATGTAGCTTCACCACCAATGACTAATGATGCCTCCTCATCTGAGCCTGTAAAAGACATGATAATTATTATTATCATCACAGGAAGCTGATAGACTGAGTGACGATTAGTGTAATTTGCAAATTCAGATATGCTGAGTTCACTGGTGAACGAAACATTTGCAATTCGTATGGCTTTATATGTTAAGGTTTGATGTGTTGCTGTCTTCTGAATGAGAGGAGTTGGCAGTACCGATAAAGTTAGACACTAGGTTTTGATTTAGAAATGTTTAGTTAAGTAACTAATTAATGGTGCACTTTATCTGAAGCGTTGGAAAGACTAGGGGAACCTTCAGCACTCTGATGTACTCAGCATAAAGAACAAAATCGAATTTTCGATACAAATAATATGACAGTCACTTCTTATATATGGATCAGAAACTTGCGCTGGGCGTCACTGGAAGCATTTCCAGCAAGCTGCAGACGTTTGTCAACAGCTGCCCTCTCTGTCTCGATATCGGAGATCAAGTGACCGGCTGGCGAGAAGCAATTAGAAACAAGAAACTCTGCGAACGAACCAATCAACAATCTATTGCACAACAAATATTTAGGAGAAAATGGACATGAATACGTCAAATGCTGAGGAGACCATCGAGTGAAATTTTATATTTGGCCATAGCAGTTTCATCCCTATAAACGAGGGAATATTCTCCCCCATTACATATCCATTGGCAAGTGAAATACCGACAGTAATCAAACATATCATCCCTTATCTTTGCTCCAACAACAATACTTACCACTTTATCTCAATTACAAACATGACATTCTGTTAACCCATCGTTCAAACAGTATTTGGAAACGAGATCAAGATGAAATTTGCACCTACATTCGTGAAAAAGTTCATGCTGGAGCTGCAATAACTGCGTGTTTTGTAGTCCAAGGAATGATTTGCTTTAATGGACATTGCTACGAACTCACTTCATAATGTTGGCCCTGTTCTCATCGCTACTGTTAGTCATCACTATCGAAATCAAATAGATGCCGTGGCATATACAGCAGATCACAAGGATAAAACTGTTATGGTCTCAAATTTTTACAGTACTAGTCTAGCTGAGTAAGTGATAAATTCTTCTACCGCATGAAATGTCCTGTTAGTTGATGTGATCAGACTGTGTCAGATTAAATAAGCAGCAAAGGCGATCTGAGACAGGATACTGATGATAATGCAATTGGACAATCTGGAAGACCAGCTTCATACAACCAACATATTTGTTCATTTGTTAACTTAGCCCTCCGAGGTACCTGGTATTTATAAATCATGTATTAATGAATAATGCATGCGAATTGTTGGTGCGGAGTGTTCCATTCTTCCGTCTTCATTCACGTGTGTTCTGACAATCAGAAATAATTGACGAACCAATACTGGTGCCGAAATCACTAATCATCAGTCCTACTAGTGACGCCAACATAAATTAATTCATCCATCGCTCTTCTTTCGCATCACGTTTCGGTTGAAATTACGCAAGCTAAACTGCTTAGTCGCGAGCTACCTACATATTCTCTTGATTATTTTTGAATTCCTATACGTAAGAATCTTTAGTTGTTATTTCTGTTATCTCATATTGTGCAATTTCAAATTTCCCACCGATTCACACTGTTAAATGAGGAATAAGCTCGAAATTAAGCAAATCCAATAGATAAAGTCAACAAATAATTTTGGTTAATGGCACCTTTCCTATTAAAAGCATAAGGTAAAACCAACTAACCTTCAAATTCTCTGATATCTTGTTCGTAGTATTTAATCCAATCATATTCGTTATGTAAATCACTTAAAACCCAATCACCAGAAACTATGACGTTGAATTTTTTCCCAGTAGCATTTCTGGTATATTCTTTCCAGTGTGAGGCTTTCCAAACATGAATGACTGTGTTTTTGTCACCCTATAAGATGGAACCAAACATTTATGCAACTACTGGTTGTTTGTTGGTCGAATACAAATGTCTTTTAATGAGAGACATTTACGATCAGATAGTAATCTGCAAAGTGAGAGACACCTTATTCTACGGATGGGAGATTTCGATTAAACGGTGATTACAAGGAGGGATTTCTTAGCTATCTGAGATGTCTTCCGCCTATCTTTGAAGAGGTGTTAGGTGTTTGTCTATCTTTATTGGAAAAAATACAGAATGTGCGTCGGCAGGCAATGTAACCCCGGATCATGTGCACGGTCGACGAGCATCCCAACAGCTGTGCCACCGACGCACAGTGGCAGTTGTGAAATGAATACCGATTTATTATAATTCAGAGTAGTAAAGAACATGAAACTTATTTCATATTTTCTGAGAATTCAGCTTGATTTACGATACTTAACCCTATTGTATAACTTTCTCGAGAAAACAATAGTTTACAGTTATACACGCGTTGACACATGAGCATCAAATAAGGAAAATGGACTGCATGAGAGCTTTCTATGTTTTCGGTAATAATGTGATTTACACGCTCTCAGCTAAGCTGTTGTTGTCATCTGAGTGACTTGATTAGATTACTTACTCTACAGCTGTGAATTTGAAGATTTCATTTCCGTTTCACCTTTGTTCACAGATTCCTGACAATGTCATAACACACCTGGTTCAATCTGTGTTCTGAGCAACCTCAGACAGGGTAAGAACACTTCCTGTCCTCATGATTATGCTTGACAGGTGACACTTCGGTTGAGTGGGCTAGTGAAGGCTTCCACCCACAGACGCAGTTCCTCCTGAAAATGTTCCTCTATATTCCAGCAAGGAATGAGTTTACTTTTCATATTTTTCTGTACATCAAAGTTATCGTAGCGATAGGTTAATTTTTAAAGAGAGAGGTTTCCAGCGTAACAATCACCTTTTCTCTTTTTTAAGGTTAAGGAGTGGCTGATAAGCCAGAAAACCAGATAACAACTCACAGTTGACATCCAATCGCTATTCATGAATCTAACCGACACCGGATAAGTCCAATAGATATAATACAACACAAATGACAGGAATATGAGAAATATTCCCAACATCCGGATCATGATATGAGAAAGAGTCACCGTGAACAAACAAGGCTATAAAGTTATGTTAATACTCTAAAATGCTTATGAACAATAGGCGTTCGCTGAACCACAATCTACCTTATGAAATAAACACATCTGATAGTGTTGTGTGTCTAGACAAAACAATTATTACAAAACACATTTCTCAATACTTACCTGAAATCCGTAATCTAAAACTTCTTGATATAAAATAGGTGTAATGGCGTTTTCTGAGTCAGCAATACTTTTGACAGTTTCCACAACTTTCGACACGTAATAGTTGAGTAATTGGGCATATTTGCCAGGGAATTCCATTTTTCGTATGAATTCAATTATTTCTGGATTCCCAACCCTAAAGGAAAGAACACAAAGTTGTGTGAATGACTTGATATGATTATGAGCAATAGTTTGTGCTCGAAACATCATCGGTCAATATTATTGTATTGCACTGTGATTTATAAAAATAAAATGTTATCTACTATGGAGAAACACAGTGAGTTTATTCTTACCACGTTCTTCGTCAATGATATTCAGAAACCGAATTTTCTATCAAAATAGTTATCCAAAATCACTGACTGATAACCAGCGTTATTGCAGAAAATGAATTCACGATTTTAATGTATATTTTCGAAAGAACGGCAGTAGGCAGGCGAAGCGGAGAACCCTAGTCAGATACACGGGAGGGCATTCATCATCCGGTAGATGGGGAACACTAAAAGTCATAAGGTAGACGACGTTCCTACCCAGTTACTTGTCTCATTCTTTCAATCACTTCAACCGCTAACCACCCGTGAGTGCGCATAGCATACTATTTTGTAGAGACCCAGTAGATTAAGTAGAATCACCTTCAGATGTATCATTTCTTCACTTCATATTTGTGATTGTATGAATGAAACGTGAATTATACAGAAACTCCAGTTGAGGATTTTTCGTTTCACTCATCGGAAGCAGGAGAATAAAATCGATGATTACAGAGATACTCAGTAGTACATGTAGTAAAGCAAGAATTACATCTAATCCTCTCTTTACATAGTGCAAGTAGAAATAATTGAACAAAGTATTCGTATTGGTAATATTGTTCAAAGGAATATAGAAAACACAATTAAGATTGAAGTAGAAACTTTAAGAACAAAATATTATTGATGGAAAGGATTAGATGAGCCGTTTACTTACTTAATGTTTCTCAATAAACTAGTAGTGCCATGCCTTACACTTTTCTCATTACATAAAATGCGTGTGTGGAATGATGTATTGTGCAGCTTTTATACTTAGTCGTCCGAGCATGAAGTCTTCTATAGTTGCTTCCAGTGCCACCTGATGGCATACAAGTGGGGAGTTCTGTATAGCGAGGATACTCAGGGTTCTACAAGATAATATTCGCCAATTTCTTGCATGAGTCCATTCGTCGATCTGCCACATTACTAACAAGTTCGTTGAGTGACACCCCACTCGCTTTACTGACAACATTTGGTGCGCATCATAGTGTGACACAGTCTTCCTTAAGTAGTCCAGGAGATATTAAGAGGGATAAACAAGGAACTGTTGACAGGAAACAGAAATCATGAAACTTTGAGAATAAGGACTGAGTAGTTTCAGACTGTCTCAACTTCTTTATGTAGAACGTCGATAGAAATATCTTTCTACAAACTAACTTGATTTAGAAAGACCAAAAAAGATTGGTGGAAAGACACAATGCAAGGTGTTTAGCATCCGATTTAGTTCTAACTTCTGTGCGCTCTATGATACTAGAATCATGGAAACGAACTAGTTCATGTAAGTCGTGCTAGTGTCTGAAAGTGAAGTGACATCCTCCTAGTGAAGTCGTGTATATCATTCGGCAAACAAATAATGTGGCATAATTCTTTTCTGTATTTGAGTTGCAGCTTATATCATCAACAAGAATGAAATGTGCCACAATCTATTTATGATATTATATGGAAGGATATCATATCAATAAGTTAGTTAAGATGATACCGTCACATCTGTTTTGATGCATGACAGGTCTTGATCAATAAGTAG